CAGAGAGAAGCAGAGGCACAGAGACAGGACAGGTTGTTCTCTGTGTTTCCTGTTGTTGCAATAAAACTCAGCTGATCGTCTCACTGAGTACCTTCAMTCTTGGACCACGTATTTCTGTCTTTGTTAAATAAATATTGCCATAACATATTTAACCTTGACYGTCCTGGTGGCTTCCAATGRTACTGGCWTGACAAGGAGATGCCACCTGACAGGTTTTCTACCCGGGTGCCATCATAATCTGGGGGGCTTTTGTCTTAATTGGTGTGGAGATGTTGCAGGGGGTATCCCTCATGACTGAAGGYCATCGTCTTCAGTCATCTCATTACTGGGTTTTTCAACAGGAGAATGATGCAGTTCACAATCACCACCTAACAAAGGACTTCTTCCAGAGAATAGCATCACTGTTTTGGAAAATCCTGCATGTTCCCTGATCTAAATTCACTTGAGAACAAACTCTCAGTTTAACGGTCAATCTACGTTCCTACCCTCATCCTCAGTCACGAGCTTTGGGTAGTGCCCCAAAGGCCAGTGCCTTCCAATGGCTGCAGCCTCAGGCACCATGTGTTTGGTTTGGTCTCTTGGATGGGTTGTTCTTGTTAGGTCTTCTTAGCAAGAACTAAATACAATATTTAGCACAAGTGCTACACTTACTCAGCTGCTCAGCAACTTAGTTSTTTGACAGTTGTCAACAACTATTTTTATTACTTAGTTTCCAGTGTTTCTTCTACCATGATCCATCATGCCACCACTCCATGTCAACAGAAGTGAGCACCCTGCCTACTAAAACAACAAGATATAATCCCAGGACTGTGTTAGTTGCATCATACTTGTGTTTATCTGTGAATTGGCTCAATTCAGCACATCTTCACACTCCTACAGATGGAGTTTTACTGTTGGTGTGCAGAAGTACTTACTAAATCCATTTCTTTGCACAGACAAACTGAAAAACCTCGGTCTGAACTGGCTGGCCCCCAAAGCACCTGTGGAGAAAAAAATTTCAGATATGACTGTTTAAAATATTATTTGAAAACAAGAAACAGAATATATCTATTGTAGGTGTTCAAACATTAAGAATGTAATGCACAAAGATTAAAACATAACTATTTTACAAATAGGTGCACAGTCAATAAGGATATCTTGACTTTGTTTTCCTAGTTTAAGAGTTCCAAAAACAATTATGTTAAACAGTTTAAAATGCTGTAAAGTTACCAACGGTTCAGGCACAGCTATAAATATTTTTTTGAATTTACAACTGGTTGCACCCACAAACTGACTAATTTACACAAATCAGTTAAAAATAAACATGCAATTGGGG